TTGTCATTTTTAATAAGCAACAAGCTCTACCACTGTACTTACTGACATGTTCTCTGCTTTGGAGCCCTGATCAGAAGGCAAGTTTGGAACCATCATCCTAGAACCTCTGAATCCTTAATGTTAATTGAAACACAGGCACTAGTTCTGTGTTAGATTAGGTAATAAACATATGGCAGTTCTGTAATGCAATGAAACAAGAAATCCCTGCAACATTATATTCTTGAAGTCTCCTTATTCTTTAATGTTATTTCAACAAAAGATAGTTAAAATCAAGCCTTTATTTTATTTAAAACAGAAATGCTACAGCCACAAGTCCTTATATTAAAGTATTAATTTTAAGCCATCTGAACTGGGCGAGGGAGAAGGGGTTTATATTTACTTACCAGTAGTTACTGTGGTCATTAGCCATTACAAGAGAATTGATATGCAAATATCCAAAACTAAATTGACCATGTCAGGATTGTTAAGGAAAGTATGTAAAGACAAAACATAATTGGCTAAAAGACAATATTAAATCAAAATATGATAAAGGGTTTGTTTAGGCTACACATATGCAACAAGAATAAATTAAAATTAGCAATCTGGATAATATAAATTCTGAAATAACAGCATAAAATACAAATGCAATGCAAATACAAATATACACATATAATATATTCATGTATATTTGTAAATAAAATAAAATTATCCAAAAAGGATTTAAGAATTACAAATGTCTCTTACAAAATCTAAAAAAATATATAGTACAATAGCTGACATGTCATTTACATTCCAAAGCAAATGGTTAATTCAGAGCTTCAGCCATTTCTGGCTATCCATCCTCAGTCACGTTCAATTGCTCTTAATTACCATATTTTTTTTGTCTAGTTTTGCATGGCAATCTTATATGTTATCTCAGGATTGGTATAGGGAAGTAAAATTTATTTATGTTGATTGTTGCATTTTGCTAGTCAAGAATAAAATCAGAGCATTTCAGGGTTCTGTATAAAACTGGAAATACAGAAGAACATGTCACAAGGACCCACTCATATGGAGTATGGTGGGGGTTTTTTGTATTTCTGAGCCGGAAGAACTGAAGAACTGGAAAGCCGGAAGAACTGTATTTACATTGGGCTAAGGTTATAGTCCTTTTCTGATATGGGATGCTAAGCTATTCTGGAATCAAAACCCAAAGCAAATTAGATTCATTGCCGTGATCTATTAGTATATACCAGAGGAGCTCTCCTCCAGAATAGTGGGATCCCTGCAGACAAAGAGATGCACCCATATTTATGTATTTCAGAACAAAGGGGAAAATAATTCAAAAAGCAAGGAGAAATGATGCATGCATAGAAGTAATTACCTAATAGATCTCAGGTTACTTCCTACCCTTTTGTTATCTACAGTGAACAGTTCTGATAAAACTTAGCATATGCCCTTTGACTTGCAAGGCCACATTCCTCATGTCTCAATTTGTCTATTAAACAGTTGCACTCATTTAAAAACTGGTTTTCCTCACACCGTGTAAGATGCTGGTGTCAGAGTTTATCTCCTGCTGTCTGCCATGGAAAGCTGAGAGATATTACAAGCATCCTTTGGACAGTCTATATTAAGCAGACATTACTTAAGTTTGACCTTTGCTTGCTCATAGTCCAAAGATCGTGAGGGGAAATCCTAGGAGCGTGTGTGCTGTAAACTGCTTGCTTCCACCCAGTTTTGAGATCTGTCTGTTAACGTCAGTAAAACTAACTAGAGAAAAGTGTCAGCTCCAACCAGTACAGAAATACAGCTTGCCATATTTTAGTCTCCTCTCATCATTCCAGCCCCCATATATACAGTAGTGAAGTACTGGAGACACAATGAGGAATTTGGAAAATTGCACCCCCACCCCCACTGAGCCACTAAATTCTTTTGAGGCCAAGCCTTTAACTATCCGGCACTCAATTGGGACTACCTCATACACACACATGCACACTGATGGGTTTCTTAAACATGAATGTTTTGGAGAATAGTTTTTTCTGTAACTAATTTCCTAAAATTAATCTCTTATAAATTCAGAAATTCTAAACCACAATTCCAAGTACCTTCATGTTTATATAAAAGGGGGTACAATCAGTGCTGGGTGAAATAACCTACAATCATATAATGGGACTTCACTTGTTCTCAGCATTCCCCCATTTTCAGAGGGTTTTAACTCCCTAGAACCGTGATGGCGAACCTATGGCATGCGTGCCACAGGTGGCACACAGAGCCATTTGTGCCGGCAAGCAAGCGGCAGGCAAACTTACCTCATTGTACATGTGCGCACCTCATAGCTGATTTTCGGCCTGTTTGAGGCCTTTTTCAGCCTTCCAGAGGCTTGAGGAAAAAATAGGCCAGTTTAGTCACTTCCTGTATTTCCAGAAATGCTGGAGTGATGAAACGGGGCCATTTTTCGGCCTGCAAAGCCTGCAGAGGCCTTCCTTAAGCCCCTGCGAGGCCAAAAAAGGCCTCAAAGGAGGCAAAAATCAGCTGTAAGGCACAGTGCAGGTAAGGGGGCGTGGTGGGGGGATTGCGCATGCATGCGCAGGGGACATGGTGGGGGTGCACGCATTGCCTTCTGGGTGCTGGCATGTGAGCGCGCATGCACAAAATTTTTGGCACAGGAGCCCAAAAGGTTAGCTACCACTGCCCTAGAGCAGATTTGTGGAAAGGGGTTAAACATTCAGTTGATGAATGCTAGTCAGTTAGAAATTAAAAGGACTCAACTCTTGTGTTTTTAGGTAGCTTATTAAATGCCAATAAATGAATGTTAAATTTTACAATACCTGTGGAGTTTAATATTATAAACTAGATCATTCATTCATTCATTCATCCATTCAATTAATACAGTATATGTGCAACAAGTTTTGCACCTCCAATTACACGCATATATATAGCACAAATATTTAAAATTGCAGTATTATTTAAATGTACAAATTTTCAAGTTTTTTTCTCTATTTGAGAGCCAAGTATTTAGATATTAACTTTCACTTACAGTACCTATTTTCAAATTCCAATTTTGTTGCACATGATTAGAACAGTGTAGAAACACAGTGAATTATAGGAATCATATGGATTTTCTAGTCACATTAAACAATATTGAAAAGTAGGTTGTGATGTTTTTGGTACAAAAAAAATGCCATTCTTTTGCTTTGTTTTCAGATTGTGAGGGATAAGAAACATGTTTTCTTTCAATATTTCTTAAAATTGAACTGTTTTGTGCTTAATTTTAAAACAGACCTACTATTGGATGTCACAAGTTATTTATCAAGAATATTTAGAAACTAGCTAACAAGAAAGAAGAATTGTCTTATACAGTGATATCTTGGTATTCAACTATTTTGAAACTCATTGAATTTGGTACACAACATGTTTTGACCCAAAAAATTTGTCCCAGTACTCATTGTTTGGTACAAACTAGAACTTGTCAATGTCAGCTGTCTTGTGATTCACTACATTGTTCCTTATGGGACAAATTGTTTGGTACTCATCATTTTTGGTACTTATGCCACCCGGAACCAATTAACAATGAGTACCGAGGTATCACAGCATATAAAATATTAATACTTAAGAACTAATATATTACTATGTATCAGTATATATGGAGTTCAATAAAATCTTAAACATTCAGAAACAGGATTTGAAATTTGTAATAGGCTATAAGAACAGCTTTCATCTGCAATGCTGTAAAGTTTTTTTAAAAAACTATTTAGCTTGGTATTCTTAAATCAGTACTGTTTTTCTTTTAAGAGTCTGTGAAGGTACAAACCAAATATCAAGAAAAGTCAGTTTTAAATGCTGCTGACAGTCCAACAAAGAGTTAGAGCTCCATAAGCCCGCTAAATTCATGTGTTATATTTGTTCACACCAATATTTAGATACATATAGACCATTCCATAACACTAAACATAAACCTCTCTTATTCCTTTGGATTTCTATATTAATGAGAATAATATAGTTTCTGGTACTGTCATTGTTATAGTTTTGTTTACATTCTTTTTAAAAAAATAAATTTTACAAAAAGTTTTAAAGAGACTATAAAAACTAAAATAAACTCATAAGGATAAAGAAAACAAAGAAAACAAAGAAAAAAGACAAAAGAACATAACGAAAACAAAAGCAAAGCAAAAAGGCTTCCAATTTCCTTTGCAGTAAATATAAATATGATTACAAAGTTATCACTTTGTAATTACAAAAAGCTCTTTTTTTCTATTATCTTTTTCCCTATCATCAAAGGTTCACAAATCTTAAGTGCATTTTCTTTTCTGTTTCATGCAAAAAGTCTAAAGGGGTTTGCAGTCAGCCATATCTAGATACTGCCTTTTCTCTAATCAAGGAAATCAGGAAATTAGCCCTCTCTGCAAGTTCCATCATCTTCACCAACTATTCCTCTGTTGTGGATAGCACTGAACTTTTCCATTTCTGAACATATAATTTCACTGCAGTCATCATTTATAAAAACCAAGTTTCATGGCTTTTTTAATCCCAAAAGATAAGTTTCTGATTTCAATTGTACATTCATCTTTATCTTCTGAATTAATATATTTGTATCCAAAAATGTATGTCTTTTTTACATATCATATATAATAAAATATCCTTTTATGTTGTTCACATTTCCAATAAATATTTGAAGTACCTTCATACATTCTACACAATTTCTCTGGTGAGAAATGCCAACAATACAGCATTTTATAAGAATTCTCTTTAAGGCTAGAACATAATATAAATATAACGTAACCCTTTCAACCACTTATTTTTCCATTAATCCATTTGTATAGTGAAGTGAAAAGACTTAGTCCATTTTATCTTATGTTCTTTCTTGTTCTTCTTCTGACTCCACAAATTTCCACAAAAGTTCATACATTTTGGCAATAACATGCTCATCATTTGTGCATAATTCTATTTCAAACTCAGCCCTGCATTATTCAAAGACATATTTTATCCACTTTAAACTTTCCTGATAATTGTATATAAGAAAATCATTGAAAAGAATAACCTTCTGTTGTTACATCCCTTGATTTTATTTTATTTTACAATCCTTTTAAGAAAACTCTAATACATTTATACTTATCATTTTTCATCTACACAATGTTTCTTGTGCTGAGAGCCATAGAAGTGTTTTGGGCAATATCTAGATTAATATTTATTCCATAGTTTTGTTTACATTATTTAAAGCTACATGGATTTAGAAAATATAAGACTTGATTCTACTGTATCATACCTTCTATATGCAGTTATAGAGTTGTTAAAGGACATTGTGATTTCCCCATTTCTGAACCCAAGCACTCATCAATCACGAATTCAATCAAACTCATTACGTAGATCTCCTCAGGCCCACAGAATGAAATGGCTACATAAGGTAGTTATGGGGCTCTTACAGCAATCCTAGTACATAGAGCTGAAAGTTGACTTCATAGGCATGAAGATGTCTGGTATCAGTTTCACTGATGATAAATCTAAACAAGATATGTTTAGTCTTTCAATGCAATACACATCAAGTTTTTTAAAAAAAAAATAAGATTAATTTAAGGGAATTAAAAACATGTAAAACTGATTCTTTTATTCTGCACTATTTTGTTAAAATGTCCCATGTAAACAATTTCTACATTAGTCAGTTCCCCTTCAGTGTCCCTATATAACAAAATAATAGATTATACATAACTTTACATATTTATTTGGTCCTCTAGTGAATTTTCTATGCTCTAACTTAAAAAATCCATCACAGACTCAATGAACAAGTATACATTAAAGTTGTCAATTATGCCACAGTAATTGAAAATCCCTGATACTTTTATCTGCATTAGTCTCTGAAAGCTATTCCAATACTTCTGGAATTTCTCCATCATCCACAATGAGCATGTGGAGAATTCCTTCCCTTCTCTTCCCGCTGCTGACAGCTTTGATATAACAGTTGTGCTTTCCAATACTGAAATGTGTTTCTGTCCCATCTTCTACAAATTCACCCTGAACAAAAAAAAAAAAAAAAAAAAGATTTAAAAAAGCTATTTAATGATGCACAAATGTTTCAGACTTTTACTAGCTATCAAATTATTTTAGTTTCAACAAAGCATAAAACATTCACAGTTACAGCATACAAACAGAGAAGCAAGCTCAACTTTTAACTTTTCCCATGACTTTAGGAATTTCAGAAAAGATGTCAATACCGTTTGAACTGTAAGCACGCAATTATTTTATCTCTTTGTGTACTGTATGGCATTTCTAAAACGTTCCATTTGTCTTGTAATAGAGTTTAGCTGTGTAAAGGGTTGGGAAAGAGCAAACCTCCTACTGCTCTTGTAATGTGTTTGATCTGGAAGCCAATGCCAAGCTTCTGGAAGTCCTTTCCTTTTTATAAGAGGCATAAGCATTCCAGAACACGCATGGATCTTTGTATTTTTTCCACCTCCCAGCCGTTAAACTAAGTGATAAAAGGAGCTCCAGCAGCAGCAAAGGTATTGGGAGCTTTCCAGTACTGACATATATGATTTTGGTTTTCTGCTGAAGGAAGGAAGAAAACTCAATATAAGAAAGAACTTGTTGTGAGACATGTCTATGGAGATTCTCCAGGTCACGGTTGTCCCAAAAGTGCTTTTTCAATAGGCATGAAATGAAAGTGTAGTTTTTCAGCAGCATTTGGAAGGCCACAGGTTTCCTACTTGTAATAGTCTTTAAAATTCTATAGGATTATGCTCTATGATTGCTTGTTAAGCTATTCAGCTGTCCCAATTATTTTAATTGTCTTAATTGTCCATTTCTTGGGAGAGAGAAAGATGCTATGAAATATCCCCTCTAATTTATGATGTATTTTCAACTAAAATAATCTACATGAAATTATGTTTTTTGATGTTACATACCGCTGTCTCCACTTTTTTACCATTGCACCAGACATCCATTGTGTCTTTCTCTGTAAGAAAAAAATCACAAAAGGATTGTTACATAAATTCTTATATATAATTTCAACATCTAAATTATAAGTAAAGTTGTACCCGGACCAAAACTCTTCTGCAGTTTACATTATATTTTATTTTGATTTAGTTCTACAAAATGCTATAAATGCTATAAATGTGGTAGTCTTTCTACAATTAGAAAGACCTCTACCATTTGCAAAAGGCTAGAGCAGAGGTCTCCAAACTTGGCAACTTTAAGACTTGTGGACTTCAACTCCCAGAATTCTTCAGCCAGCATAGTTGCCAAGTTTGGAGACCCCTGGGCTAGAGAATGCTGCATGACTTTTTTTTTAGATATTATGGTAGCAGATACAGGTTGACAGTAGGCACAGATTTATTTACAACATGCTGCTGCTATCTTAAAACCAGCTTGTTAGTCAGTATCCTTAATTCTCATAGTTATGTCCATAGCCACATATATATCCAACATGATGTTTTCTGGATTTATAGTAATGCTATTTTCTATTTTGTTATACAATAATACATTGCCAACAACACATAGTTAAGGTTCAACACTAAATGGAAACCAATGCTAGTAACTTAAAAATTACTTATCTATTAAAACTTAACACTAATTTAACAAATCCTTTTCAAATCCAAGAGATCTTGTAGAAATTCCAGAATATCTCTAGGATAAGTGTATATAACTAACCTGATTATGTGCCATGAAGACATTGTCAACTCTAAGCTACCACACATATTCATTTTCTACAAAGATTCCCTTAGTCTTTATTTCAAATAACTGGCTTATAGCATTTATATTGGAAAGTACCAAAATACAACTAAAGCAGTACATGAACCATACATACCTAAAACAACTCTAAAATCTGTACCATCTAGGTGTAATACCCAAGTATTTGTTGTTTTTGATCGATTCTCCAGATATTTCTTGAGACTTTTTCCATCTATTTCCAGAGTATATTCATATGCAAATCCACTGACTGCATCAATATTAATAGTAGCCTTTGTGTTAGCTGCTCCAACTGTAAAGGTCTCCTTTCCCACTAATTTAAACATCCATTCTTTTCTTATTATTTCCTATGGATGAAAAAAGACATTTAATATAAACATATTTTTGCTTCAGTTCTGAAAACTTGATTGTCATAAAACCAGTCAACCTTTTTGTTTTATTATTAGAAAAATTAATCAAATCAGATGTAATCAAAAGACTTATTATCCTTTCATCCTTTCCTTAACAAGAATGTCCAATTCAAATCACAGGAAGTAATTATTCTATCCCGATTGTATCCCATTTCTGAGACAATTTACACTTTAAAAAAACAAACAAACTGAAGAGCAAGTTCAGAGGATGTTTATTAACATGGTGAATTATTATGGTTTGTTGCAGTCAATGAGATGTTTAGACTGATTTTGGCATTTTATTCACCTATTGAGTCCTTCTAAAGACCTAGGATAGATAGATGTTGTTTGATGGTATTAAAGTACTGTCACAGGATTATTATTAAAATTATTTTTTAAATTCCTAGCATTTTCTCATTCGAGCAGGGTCCAGAAATATCAGGAAAGATAAATGACATGTACATAGAAACCTAGATAACTGAGGGGAGACATGATGGCAGCCTTCAAGTATCTCAGGGATTGTCACACAGAAAAGGGAATAGACTTATAACTATCACCTAAAAGGGCTGCATGAATTAAAACTACAAGAATAAGATTCAGGCTAAATGCCAAGATTCTAGAAACTGTCAGCCAGTCATGTAGGTTACTTTATAAAGTGGTGAGTTCTCCTTTGCTTATTTAGTCCAATTGGGTAACTGAAAACTATTGAAAAGACTCATTTGTGTAAAGGGTAGTGTACATAAAGATAGTATTTCAAGTGGTAGTTATTTAAGGTAACCTTAATCTATAAATACTTATCCCTCATACTTATCAAGGACCCTTTATACTTATCCCTGAAATCGGTGGGTTAAAATGCTTTCTTGCTTATCCTCTGGGGTCTTTTGTGAATTCTCCTGCCAGTGCTAATGTATGGCCTTATCAAAATGAGATAAGAGTCCCTCCTGTTCCACAGAGGACCTGAATCTATCAAATAATGGTGCAACCAATTATCTCATTGTAATAATGACAGTAAGGATCTGGAGGAACAAAAAGTCTCACGAAATAGCTCTCACTTTTGGCCTCAAAAACTTTGCAGACTACAAGGTTGTTCTACTCAAAAGCAAATGTCTGGTACAGAAGACAATTGAGGGACTTTTTGATGTTACGGACCACCTTTCTGACACAATGAAGTCTATTTATGGTAATGAAAGCAGGATTGATTCAGTGGTTCAACAAGAGAGCAAGAGGAGGGAAAAGAATAGAAAGAAAAAGATTTAAGGGAAATTGACAACAATAAAGAAGTAAGAAAATAAACTGGAAGAATGGCCAGAAAAGCCTATGCTCAACACCACACCTGGGCATTTTATAGCCCGTAGGTCGCATCTGGCTGGCAGGTGGTCCCAGTCCGGCCCATAGCATCAGCAGCATTGAGGCAGTAAACTATTGAGCCCTCCACAATAGTCCCAGCTTCTCATGTGGCCCTTTGGGAAAATTAATTGCCCAGCCCTGCTCAATACCAATTAGAAAAGTTTTCTGGAGAAATATTCTTTCAGCGAATCAGGTTTTACATACACAAATTATTACCTTGTTCATTTTTCAAAGAACTAAGTGCATTTTATGTAAATGTCCTACCTTTCCATCTACATACACAACACGCTTTCCTGATGTGGTCCCATGCTCAAATTCAATTTTGTGAACACCATCACTCAGGCCTACTTCCCAGATGGCCACCAGGTCTGCCATTCTGTCTATGTAACTGTAATGAGATGTAGAAGAACAAAACATTTAAATATGTACATTTGACCTACTTCAAGCAGTATTATTCAAAACTGAAATACACTTCTCAAGTGGCTCCAACTTAGCCAGGCTCTCTTTTTAGAAACTTAATTATATTTACAGAACATACTATGCAGCTCTTTAAATTATGAGCTTAGTTTTTACTAAACATTTTGGTTGCTCAGGCATATGCATATCATTGTTTGTATACATATTACACTTAATAAGAAAAAAGTGACCTATTACATCATATATAGCAAAAAACATTCAGCCCAATTTTCATTTTTAAACACCTTGTTAAATCCCGATCATACAATCATTGTACTGATACAAAATCAGTTTATAGACAGAAAGTGAACATATTTAATTGTTCCAAGCCTAAAAGATTCCTTGGAATATTAATTCCTAGATATAAAATAATTTAAACAAATAAAATTCCAATTTTTACAATTTTCATTTAAACTCTAAAGAAAATATATTATTTGATTAATTGAGTAACCTGGTAATTTGCCAAACATACAACTTACAAAATAATTATTAAACTTAATATACCATTGGTTGACAATAGTGTTCAATCCTAGCCAGTTAAATCCAAATCCTGTCCTGTCTTTCTGATAGATAAGACTCCAATAAGGTTCCAATATCAAAATAAATATAGTAACAGATAAAAATCATTTCTGATAAGCACCAAAAACACCTTGATAAGAAAATTATATTAAAGCTAGCAGAGAAATTAAAGAACCACATATATGAGCACTGCATTTATTGAATTTTATTTGGTGTTTTTATTGATATTCACAATTCATATTTGACCAAGATTTGTTTCCAAAATAACTTTCTATATCTCTTACCCTATGGGGTACATTTTACCTTACATCTTCACTGTTATCAGTCTCCATCCAAGTTGCCATATCATACAAAATGGCTTTTAATCCAATTAGCAGCAAAAGAAAAAAGAAACAAAGCAGAAAGAAGTAACAGCAAAAAAGTAAAAACTAACTTACAAATGTTTAGAATAATTGTGTTCATGACAAATCATTGCTATTTCACACCTTTTGTCCTGAGCTGGGGGAAATGCTGAGAAAAGCATTCTAATTTTACTTCTTGATTTTGCCAATCTGTTAGTGGCTTGAAATGAATGTGGATACACAAATACATGCAGTTCACCTAGAAATACCATAGTTACTACTTACAATCATTCACTAAAAAGCAGGCTGAACCCGTTCCTCAAATATTTGCAAGTGTGCCAGTAGCATTTACAATCTTTTGACCTAGCTCAAAAGATCTTGAACCTCATTTCAGGAATGCAACAAGATGTTACAATCACTCAGTTATTTAACAAAAATAAGAAATTTCTAAGGTGCTTGCTCCAACATATCAAAGCTAATCTTAATGGTCAGCAATTTCTTCCTTCTGGTTTCTACTTTAACTTTTTCATTCTTGACACTTTTGGAACACAAAGCAGCACATTAAAAAAAAAAAAAGATTAAAACAGCAGATGTTACAGCAGCACCCACATATTTTCCCTCATGGCTTGAAAAGTAAGTCATTTTTATTATAAACAAATAAGCAGAAAACTGGCATGCAATAAAAATAAATGAAACAATTAAGCCCAGTATTATATGCATTTCCATGTTTTTCATAAAAAGTGGCAGGATTCCATAGGTATCCCTAAGAAATAAAAAGTGGGATGGCAGTAATCCAATGTTTGGAAGATATTTATCAATCTACATAAAAAAGATAAATGGGTAATATAGAATGCTCTGTCAAATTAGTGAAAGTGGAGATGAATTCTAATTAACGTTTCATGATGGAAAACATTTTCCACAGCAGCCACTTTAACCTGCGTTTTTCTGACTTTGGCACTTTTTACATATTTGACAAGAACGGAGTAACCTGTATAAATACTCCTCTACTATAAACTAAAACAATAACAAAGCTCTGTGCTATGCGGGTTACTAGATTTCTTTGTGTTGATGGAATGCTTAAATTTAAACAATATTCTTTGCTGAGTTCTCCAAGTTTCATTTGATGAAAACTGCAGCAAAATATTCTGCAAAACAAATTCAATTAAATTCAAGGCATCAACCCTGAATTAAAAAAGAAATGGCAGTGTGATTACATCACAAATTTCTCCTAGTTTTCCCATATGCTAAGATCTATTCAATAAACCATAAACAGTTGAATTTGCAAGAATATGCCATCAAATACATTTAAAAGTCACAAAAACTAACTTCACACAATAGGCATGTTGCTTGAAAAAATATTAATGCTTGCAGTGTTGTTTGAACCAGCTAAGTATGTCAATTTTAATTTCATTCAACCCACATTCCTGGATTCTAAAAAAAAATACTGAAAAGGGGTTATTAGAGAAACAGGCCTCCCTATTTAGATGTGCTTTGGGTGACTTTAGTTAAGGAAAAATAATGTTTAGAAGTTTCTTTTTTATTCCTGATTCATCTGAAATAATGAGACTGGCTACAAATACTTGTGTGGGTACAATCACCATTCCATATTAAAAAAGACATTTCCCTGTAGAGAAAAATTGCAGTGGGCTAAAAGAATCATACCACTCCATGTTCCCTTTCTATGCAGGAATAGGATTTGAGGTTTATTTACAGGTACTCCTCGACTTACAATCACAATCGAGCCCAAAATTTCTGTTGCTAAGCAAGACATTTGTTAAGTTAACTTTGCCCAAATTTATGACCTTTCTTGCCACAGCTGTTAAGTGAATCATTGCAGTTGTTAAGTGAATCATTGCAGTTGTTAAGTCAATCTGGCTTCCCTGTTGACTTTGCTTGTCAGAGGGTCGCAAAGACGATCACAAGACCCCAGGACACTGTGCAACCGTCATAAATACGAATCAGTTGCCAAGCATCTGAATCGTGATCACATCACTATGGGGATACTACAATGGTGATAAGTGTGAAAAACAGTCCTTAAGTCACTTTTTACAGTAACTTTGAACTGTCACTAAATAAAATGTCGTAAGTCGAGGATTACTCCTGTTTCTAGGGAGATGTCAATAGATACTCTGATTAACTCCTTCTGGATCTGGGGGGGAAAAATGACCCCCTTCCATGTAGTTTTTAAACTTAGACTTAGAATAACTTTATTGTCACTTTGAATGTACACTAATCAGCATGCATTAAAATGAAATGTCATTGCATACAGCTCTCAAATGGTCCCTCACCTCCAATATACGCTACATAAACATGACAAAATAAACATATAAATACAAAATTATGCATATAAATACAACATTATGCATATTTGAAGGAAACGACCATTCGGCCCACTTCCCCCATCGCCAACCATTAACCAAGACCCATTTTAAGGCTGTTCTGAATCCGGTTTTAACAACGCGGGGTCGACTTCGGTCCCGGAGTCCGAAATAAGAGCGATGGAGTTTAAAAGGACAGGCTCTACCTACCTCAGGGACAGTTGGCCTCCCGCCCGCCTGTCGAAAGCGAGGCCTCGTCCGTGTGAGGGAAGTAAGCCCCGCCGGCTTCGGGCGAGGCTCGCGAGTCTCCCAGCTTCAGGTGGAAAAAGGGACGGGGGAAAGCCGAGGGGAGCGACTTCGCCCCTTTTCCCTCCGCAAGCCTCTGTGCCTCCCTCAGAGCCGCCGCGAGTCTCAATATGGCGGTGCCGCCCTGGACAGGAAAGCCGGGAAAGCGTCGCTTGGAAAGCGCAGTCGGCGCATCTTTCCTACCCTGGCAACAGGCGCGCATACGCGCGGGGCCCGGCCGAGAGACGGGTCCCGGAGCCGCCTCTGCCGCCCGCCGGAGCGCCTCCTCATCTCTGCCCGACGCCGGACTTCTCCCTAGCGCCGCCTATGGAAATGCCTCGCTGGCTGCCCAGGCGAGCGAAGCTCCTCCCGCTCCTTTCGGTGCCTTTTTGGGCTTTTCCTTTCAGCCTCTTTCAAAGGCTCTCCTGCGCATCAGGGCTGCCTTCTTCATTGCCACAAGCCCCGGTGCTTTCGGGGAGCTGTTGCCCCGGGGAAGGGCTTACTCCGAAGGAACCTGCACAGCCTTGCAAGGGTCTCTTTCGGCTCCGCTTCAATGCTGGACCTTCTGTAGGTAGAACAAGGAACGAATTGGTTTAAATTGCAAGGAAATAGATTCTGTTGGACATCAGGGGAAAGAAAAATCCTCATGGTGAGAGCCAATTAAAAAAATAAAACAGATTACTTTGGGGTGTGTGGATGGATTTTCTTTAACTATAGTTGTAGCTCTCTTTTAGGGATGCTGCAGTAACGGATTCTTACACCAAACGGGATTGGACTAGATCATCTCCAAAACTCTTTCCAACCTTTACATTCTATGATTCTAATACGTTAATCTGTAATTAGCACTCAGCCCAACTAATTTATAAGGAGTTCGCACAAAATATCAAACTATAAGCTAACTGACTAGACTGCCTTTATCATGTTGAGAAACAAACCAGCCAGGCATATTTTAAGCTTAGCATTTTGGATCAACGGTTATAATTTTGTTAATGAAGGCTGGATAAAAAAAAATCTAATGAAATAAATAATGTGGACCTCTGTATATCTCTGACAGATGTAATACAGGGGTTGCTCACTGGAGAAAAAAATAATCTTTTTAAAAATAGCACTCTGGTTTGGGGGTGCTCTTCTAAGAAAAGATTGCTTATATCATGTTTTTAATACAAAATAGGGTCCCCCCCCCATCCCGATAACCTCTCTTTTGTGGCATTTTATTAATACCACAAGAAGGTACAGAGTGTTAAACATGGAAATAAGCTTCCTCCTCCACTGTTTTCCTACATGATCGGTGAACATCTATAGAAGATATTGATACTAACAGGAAGAGATCTTGCTTTTCTGAAGGCTCAGATTTCCTCTCCAGAGCAGAGGCTTTCATTTCTTTCAAGTAGGAAGGCAATCGTTGCAGCTAGCATCCCTTATTCTCCTTTGGATAAGTTTTCCTTTAATAACTACTGCTAGAATAACTCCACAGGCAAGTCCTCTCTTTGGACCAGAGGTGAGATTGGAGGCAGCCTCGTCGGTTAAATCGAATATACCTGCGGAGTGTTAAGAACCCCCAATAGCCAAAAAAATGACATCTATGCTGCCAGGGACTGAACCTGAAACGTGTCTAGCATGGTATTTTTAGGGCTCTGAAAATTGTCCGGAGGTCAGCTAGGGCCGGGGTTCAGCTGAGCTTTGCGTGTAACCTGGCAAAACCGGTAGGTTTGTGTACGGACGTTTTGCAAGCGTCCGTCCCCCTCCCCAACCAGCCAGCCGCTTGAGAAGAGCCAAGAGGTGGAGACTGGAGGCCAAACCCAGGGGCGGCACTACTTCAGCTTGTGTGAGCCCGCCTTTAACGGCCACGGAAACTCTGTCGCCTTGGCCTTTTCGCCGAACGGGAAGAGGCAGCGGGAGAGAAAGAAGGCGCTTGCCTGCCTCTGCGATCTTCTTGCGGGAAAGCCGAGCGGAGGAGACGACGTGAGAGAAGCCTCGAGGAGCCTCGGAGGAGCCGTGGTCCATTTAAAGCAGCCTCTCCGGTGGAACCTTCCTTTCTTTTGGGTTGAAGTCTTGATGAGAGAGAGGCCTCTTGGCGTCGCTAGGAAAGCTTTTGTTTCTTTGTAGAGAACTGAGCATCGGGGGTTTTGGTGTTTTTTTATTTTATTTTGCCGGTATTTAATAACAGAGGAGATCGGGACTGCGGTTTTATAACGTTATGATCGAACATAAGCAGACTTGCAAACCGAACCGTAAGAATAATCAAGATGGTATAAACTCAGCCTTTTCTGCTCAAATTCTGTTGAGGGTCCCAGGCAACTTCCTATTTTGGGTGTGGCTTCCTTAGACTAAATGCCCTTGCCTGCCTCACCAAGGTTACCCGATCCAGTTTGCATTGTTATCCCATACATCCCACCTCAAGTATTAGGCAGCGCTAATTAAGGGGAGAATATGTCCAATATTTTCACCAGATGTAGATGTAGCTACTTGTTAGTAAGCCTTACTTTCAGTGTTGGCAGTGACAATATGATCAAAGCTTAGCGGTGCTTGGATTACCATCCTAAAAATGCATTTGAGTTTCACCTCTCAAAATATTTGGGATAGGTGTGATCCTGTGGAAGGGAATACTTAAGAATGTACTTAGTTCAAGTCAGCTAATAGAGATTAATTGATCATGAGCCATCAGGTCGTTTTTTGTTTTTTTTTACTCCTAGCAACCATATAGAGTTTCTCCTTGGCAACCTATCCCTATTCTGGTATCTCAGGTCATCCAGTAGAGAAAGAATGTACAGTACAGGTAGTCCTTGACTTACAACCCTTCATTTAGTGATCATTCAAAGTTACAATGGCAATGAAAAAGTGACTTATGACCGTTTTTCACATTTACGACTGGTGGAGCATCCCCATGGTCACGTGATGTAAATTCAGGTGGTTGGCAACTGGTTCATACTTATGACGGTTGCAGTGTCCTGGGGTCATATGGTCACCTTTTGCAACCTTCTGAGAAGCAAAGTCAATGGGGAAGCCAGATTCACTTAACAACCATATCACTGTCTTAATGAGTTGTAGTGCTTCACTTAACAGCTGCAGCAAGAAATGTTGTAAAATGGGAGCAAAACTCACTCAACAAGGGTTTCGCTTAGCATCATAAATTTTGGGCTCCATTTTGGTTGTAAGTCAAGGACTATCTGTAAATGATTTTCTTGCTTGAATGAGGTTTTCCCACCAGCTTGGAAATTGTTTTGATCTCTTGTGGGGATGATCCTGCTTGATTATTTAACTTTGTAGACACTGGTAGCCACAGCAGGCTGTTAAATATGCTCTTAGAAAGACACAAGCAACACATCTTTATAAAGAAAAATGAGCCGTCCTAGTTTAGTTTTAGGGATGCTAAGTATAATAGCAGCAAATCTGTGGGCCTTTCCCCATTTTTCTTGAACCACAATGCAAGCATGTCCTACCAATATCCTTTTTTATCCTATATCCCCATGATATGCCTTTATCGCATCTTGTTACCCATGAGTAAAACAACAAGACAACCTGCTGTCTTAGCTGTCTTAGTATTAAATAAGTGTTTCTCCCTTTTGTGACACCATCTAAAGGCATCCTGAATTAGTCTTTGAAACTTGTTAGGCCTGTGCAGCACTTTGGATTGGATCTTCTGGAGGTTGCTTCAATGTGTAAATATATCACCTGCTTGGAACATCCTGAAGCAACTCTTAACTTTTCCCAGGAAAAGCTACCGAAGTTTCTCAGCTGTTTCAAAGAACATTTTGAAGATGGAATGCAAATGCTGCATAGCTATGTCGTCCATTAATATGGGGTGAAGTCAGGGGAGTGCTGTAACTTAAAATAGTGGTAGAGTAGAGCTGGACAATGGGGACAACACAGATTTCATGCCAATACAGATAGCTTCATCTCAGTAGTGGGGAAGGGCCCTATATTAAGCTAATCACATTTCAAAATGGGGGGGGGGGGGAATTGATTGATTTTGAAGGCTTCTGGCAAATTATTTTTCTGTATTTTTTAAAATATTTGTATATTTGAGACATTTGAGCTATAAAACAAGTACATAGCATAGCTTTGTTCAGTTTTCCTCATGCTGTAATGCTATTTCATTTTTTTTGCTTTTCCTATATCATCTCATCTTCCATTTTCAGATTTCAGAAAAAATTGGCATTCTATCCACTGGTCAACTAAAGTCAAGAGTTCAAAATTACAATGACAGAGGTATATCTTTGTTGAACCATGTGTAAATAATGGCATATATTAAGATCACATAGAATTGAATTACTTTCAGCAAAAGTTCAAGAGTTCAAAATGTGTTGTTTAATATTTTACATAGTTCAAATTTTTATTATATTGTTCAAAATGTTTTATTATACTAATTTTGCTGCATTGTTTTTGTGTTTGTTTAATGTTATATAGAAATAATATAGAAAGAAGTTACTAAAGAGCAATAGGAACTTGTAAAGTACCTACAACTCAGAGTACCTACAACTCAGTGTGTAATGTTAGGTTCAAACTCTTATCTGCTGTAGGCAGCATGCCAGTATTCAGGTCTGATGACAGCTTGAGATCAGTAATACTTGCCAATAGTGTATTAAGCCATCCCAGAATTTTAATAAAGATTAAGACTCTAAAAGCACCTTATCAATTTATATTATGAATTATTGTATCTCACTATAAGCTTTGGAGCTGTTTTGTATAATCTGGTTCTGCATAACATTGTTCATGTATTGTAAGGCTACAGTTTTAAGGCTGGTTTCCTAGAAATAAACTTATTAGGATTTCATTGTTAAATAGGATGGGAAGAACTGACACGTATGTGTGTTTGAACATAGTAGTATGAATCCTAGATTTTCAAGAGAGCATTCTGTTTATTAATTCTGTTCATGGGCTGATACAAGGAATCAATCATAGACATAGAGAATCCTGAGAAAAGGGAAGGAGGCAATCTGCATTAATTTCCCCTCTAATATCTTCATTAGTTTTTCAGAGTTTCAGTTCAGTCCTTTGGAACAAGGTGCAAAAAGAGCAATGAGGAAGGTGTTAAATTTGAAAGCCCTCCTTTACTTTATGGGAGTGGCTTAGTGAGTCTTCATTGAGATGAAATTCTTACCTGTGGTTCATTGGTTACGAATCAAGCCTTAGTGATAAATAATTTTGTGGACATGCTTTTCAAAGCATCTAAAGTTGCAGACTGCCCAAAGAGGACAATAGAGGTTCTGTGATGGTGAAATCTAATACTCAAAATATCCATGAGCTGGGATGATATAGCTACAATAATAAGGCTTTGTATTATAC